ATGGGTTCAGTATTTTTTTGGTGGGGGTGTGGGGGGGTAATTGTTGGGCAGGAGACTGGGAAAACCTCTGCTGTGGCATCTTCAACGTGCTGGTAGGCAGCGGAACCTCGGTTGAACGTCTCATCCGAAGGACGGCAGAGCAACAATAACTTGTTGGAAGGTGCACTCTCTCTCCCTGAGGCGTTATATCCTGCTTCCCTAATTCCATATTCTGAATCAGAATCAGCTGGGGCTTGAAGGGATTGTCCAAGCCAGATCTTTCTTCATTTAAAGGGTAAAATTTGTGGTCTTTAGTAACTGCACTTGCTGGTTTCCAATTCTAGATTCTTCCAACAAAAGTCTAGACGTCACATTAACATGCCACCCTCCTGATCTGTTTTGATTTCCTCTTCGTGGGCTCAGTTCAGGCATCCTCGCACACCCATCCGAAGCAGAGTATCCGAAGCAGACTGAGAGTTCCCAAACAATAACCGAGAGAGCTGGGAAAACTCAGCAGGTCAGACAGCATCTATGGAGACAGGAAAGTGAGTCAACGTTTCGGGTCCACAACCCTTCGTCAGAACTGAGAGTTCCATGTGTATGCCACCCACACATGAACTCTTTCCTGGTTCCTTACTTCCCTATTCTGAGAGCATTAGGCGCAGGTGGGCAAGAGCTCAAGGTTGGGGACCCGACCGTGTGTGTTGGCGTGACTGCTGGGGTTTAACCAGCACTGGCAGCACTGTCTGGCAAGCGTCCCACTGCTTGTGAATATAGGGCTTTGGTTTGCAGGGTTAATAGGGGCTGAAGAATCCCTGCCTCAGTGGCTGTCTGTCGCACCAATAGCCAGGCTGGGCTGTGCTGTCATCGGCAGTGCCTGGGGAATGCTATGGGGCCGCCACAGAGAATTGACTCAATTCCGACATTTCATTGCCAAATACGTCACCTTGGGGGCCTGTTCAGCACCATGGAGACCCCGCTTACCCCCTCTGCGCCCCCCGTGCCTCCACAGGAAAAAAACTGATGTGGTTGATATGGTTACTCAGTGTAGGGTTAATCTTCGAAATGTAAGATATTAGCTGCGTTTCAGAATCTGTTCATTGCATTAGACAACGCTGTGATTTTGCCCTAAACCCTTGGGTGTCGTCCAGTTTGTGTCTCTTGATTGTTCTTCAGAGGTCAGCGACTGAGGTACAAATCTGGGTAACTAATCCAATGCTCAGTGGAGTGTAGGCTCTTAAAGAAAAACGAGATGACAAATTGCGTTTCCGATCCATCGTTTGCTAACTGCACCAAACGAGGCCATTAAGAGTCGGTGCAAATGTGGCAACAGCACAACTACGATGGAGGGAAAAGGCACACTGAGACTGTGTCACAGAAGAGAAAGATAAGGGAAGAGGGAAAGATTTAGAAGCTCAGGACATTTTTTAAGCCACAGCATTTAATTTAAAAGCGATCTTTATTCATTAAGTACACTTACAGTACACATTAGCATTCGCAATTTACACAGCGCCTTTCATATTGAGAAGACATCACAAAGCGTTTGAGAATCCTGGCTGGGCACCTGAGCTTTGGGGGTGTGGGGGAAGTGCTGATGAAGATGGGATGGGGTAAAGACAACTAAAAGTACAGACGAAGAGGTAATAATAATATACTGTAAAATGGATTGACTGTATTTTGTGGGGAAAACGCAGCAGTAAATTGTGCACTGCAGTGTCCAATTATTATTTTTAGGGAGTTTATTACCCCTGGAAACCGATCTGACAATCGACTAACAACCAGGTTCCCAATTACTGCTCGGTAAACAGGCACGTGGAGTAAAGAAACTTGCCTGAAGTGTTGTCCCGCCTGGGAATCGAACCCGGGTTCTCTCGCATGAGAGGCGAGTGCTCTAACCAAAATGCTACAGGTCTCCACATACGTCGTTTATCCTGTGTATGTGCTGCTATACGGCGCTCTGACACACTACCTCTTGTGAAGGATGCTGTATAAAGCCAAGTTGTTTTTGTAACACACAGTGAGCGAGAGTGTGTACATGACTTATCTTGAGTTGACTTATCTTGAGAGACCATACAAGTGAATGCTGAGTGTTCACAGACTCCACAGCAAGAGCTCGCAGAAGCATGTGTGTGGGAGAGGTCACTGGCTGTGGGTTCTGGATCTCATATTGTGTGTATCAAGAATTCTTGGACTTCCAAATCCTCTATGGCTTCTGCTTTTGTCTGCGTCCTCCTCCGCCCCCCACCCCACCCATGGCGGAACTGACACAGGGAGTTACTGAGCCTGACAACGTGAGTGGGAGGAGAACAAATCTGTCAAGATAACCGTAATTAATGTAGTGCTTTAGAGATCTTGGCGCTTTGCCTGTGTTTGATGACAATTTATCTCACCCTCACTGATGGACTCAGCAACTCCTTCCGGCCAGTGGTATCGTTAGGACTCACTCGCTGTTTCAAAGACAAACACTACAAAATATGAAATAAACTGGTGTGGATGTTTCTGAGGGGATCTTTGAAATGCTCTGAATTTAAAGATGTCATGGCATTATTGGAAAACAGAAGGGAGTTTCTTTCTCCCGGTGTCCTGGCCGACATTCCCCGATCCCCCATCGCAGTACATAAATTGGCTGCCTCGTTTGGCTGCAAATACACAGACATAATCCAGGTGTTCAAAATGATAAGCTTGATAAGGGTTGATTAAAATGATAAGGCTTTGATTAGCTTAACAATAAATAGGCCGTTTCCGCTTATCCTAATCACAAGTATACACAAGTATAAGATAGCGACTAGGATCTAAAAGAGAAATTAGGAGGAACCACTTCACATAGAGTAGAGTGAGATTGTGGAACTCACTGTCTGAAGTGGTGGTTGAATCAAAAGGTGTAGATACATTCAAAAGGAAGCTGGACCTTCGCATGGGGGAGAGGGGAATAGAAGGAGGTGGGCGGCTGTAAGAAATGGGTGAGGACTTTTGCGGAGTAAAAACACCGACAGGGACTGGTTGGACCGAGTGTCCTGTTTCCGTGTGGTATGTGAACTTTTTTGAAAAAAGCACTTAATTTAAACGTTGCTCCAAAACGATAAGGCAATGGTCTGAAGGCTAAAATCTCCGGGGAGTTCAGGACGCTGAGTCTCCTTGCTCTCTGTGGCACCGTTTCACAGTGGGTCATTGAAACCTGGCCACTGAGGGACGCCTGTCCTATTTAATTTTGTTTGCTGGTGCAGTTCGTTGACAAGGAGCTTCTGCAAGGAATGCTGCCATCGCTAGGCTGATAAAAACATTGCCCCATAACATTGGGTGCAGAAGCGTACGACCTTTAAAGGGACAGCTGTTGGTTAAATAAACAGATGCGGTCTATTTGACAATAGCAGCATCTTTACAAAGATATTTTAAATATCCTCGCACTTGGTGTAGCGCCTATGTTGTCAAAATGTCTCAAAAGTAATTGACAGGTAATTGTCGTCGAGCGCGGTGACTGTGTATTCTGTCGGCAGATGCAACAGCCTGCAACAGCTCACAGCAATGTCCCACAAACAGCCGCGAAGTGAATGGTCAATTTTAACCAGGGATTGTGGGCCAGGATACCGGAGGAGAAACCCTCTTCTCTTTATAATATATAATATTCCTTGCATTTGATACCGCGTCTTATCACGTCTTCGAGATGCTTCAAAGTGCTTCACAGAATATACTGTAAAGTGTATTGACTGCATATTTTGTGGGTGAAACGCCAATTGCACACAGCAGTGTCCCACAAACAGTCGTGGATTGAGTGACTATATTTTTTGAGGGATTATTACCCCGGGAAAAGTGATCCGCCAATTGACTAACAACCGGGTTTCTATTTACTGCTAGGTAAACAGAGGCGTGTGGAGTAAAGAAACTTGCCCAGGAAACAAACCCAGGTCCTCTCGCCTGTGAGGCACTCTATAAATATAATTTTGTATTTTGTTGTTGTTGTACTCAAAAACTGGATCAAGGAGACATAGGCAAGTTATCTAAAAAATAATAATCCTTGCATTTGATATAGTGCCTTATCGCGTCATTGAGACGTCTCAAAAGCGCTTCGCAGAATATCCTGTAATGTGGATTGATGGCGTATTTTGTGGGTGAAACACGGCAGCCAATCGCGCACGGTGGCATCCCACAAACTGTTGTTTTAAAACCGATCATTTTTATCTTCCTTTCTTTTTTGAAAGGGACACCTGTGGATTTGAAAGCTGCGTTCTTGACCAGATTTGTGGAGTCCTGTAGCTCAGTGGTTAGAGCACTCGCTTTGCAATTGAGAGACCCGGAGTTCAATTCCAGGCAGAGGGCGAAACCTCGGGCAAGTTTCCTTACTCCACACAGAGCCTAATAATAATCCCTCCAAAACAAAACAATAATAAATTGGTCATTTTCAATCTACGGCTGTTTGTGGGACATTGCTGTGCGCAATTGGCTGCCGCGTTCGCCCACAAATATACAGTCAATTCACTTTACAGTGTGTTCTGTGAAGCGCTTTGGGACGTCCTCCCGACGTGAAAAGCGCTATATCAAATGCAAGGATTATTATTATTATCGGTCATGAGTTAAGATATTGAGAGATTTTGTTTTCTTCAAGCGTGGAGACCAGCGGTGGCAGTCTTAGCATCTTGTTGCGGGAGAGGTTAGCAATGACTGTCAATATGGAAACCACACACAGCCCCAGCCCCCTTTACCCCCCCCATCTCCCTCACCCTTGCCCATGTGCTAACATGTCAGGTTTCGTATTGTGAGGCTGTCTAGATACATCAGTCTCTGAGCTTGTCTGACAAATGCGATTTCCCCATCAGCTCGGCAAGTCCTTTTATCAATTTGCTCCCCGTCTTGTGTTTGTGGTAGAATTTTATTTCTGTTGACGTGTGCGTAAAGATTCACCAGGGAGGTTAAGGACGCACAGCCCGGCCTCTATGTTCTTGAAATTAAGCCAAACGGTGTCTTTTTTTGAGGAAAGGAACCAATTTCTCTCTGTCTGTCTGTCTCTCTCTCTTTGTGTTTGGCAGCTGTGTGCCAATGGACAGAGACCAGTGAGTGAGGAACCATGGAGTTCAGGAGCCCAGAGAGTTCCACCTCGGACCTCAAGCTGGTCTGCCACCCGAGAGCCAAGAGCAAAGTGTGGAAGTACTTTGGCTTCGACACGGACGCTGAGGGCTGCATCCTGCAGTGGAAAAAGATCTACTGCCGGGTTTGCAGGGCTCAGATCGCCTATTCGGGGAACACGTCCAACTTGTCCTACCATCTGGAGAAGAACCATCCCAGTGAGTTCCATGAGGTGGTGAGGAGCAACACCGAGCCCTCCCGGGAGCCCTTCCCCTCCTCCCTCCTGAAGCTGGAACTCGACAGTCCTCACCCGAGCGCCCAGTCTAGTTACGGCCAGGACAGCAGGCGGCACCAGGAGCTGACCCTGGCCATCACGGCCTTCATCTGCGACGGGCTTCACCCGGCCGGCCTGGTGGAGGAGCCCACCTTCAGGAAGCTGCTCCGGGCGGCCGACCCCCGGTTCGAGCTGCCCGGGCGGAGGTACTTCATGGCCAGAGCCATCCCCGAGCGCTACCACTCCACGCGAGCAGCCGTGGAGAAGGAGCTGGCCGCCGCGGCCTGGTGCGGGCTGACCGCCGAACTCTGGACCTCGCACAGTAGGGGCCGGCGCTATACCTCTCTGACCGCCCACTTCCTGGGGGGGAGAGGGGGAGGCGGCGGCCCGACCAGCTTCGTCTCCAAGTGCCTCAGCACCTTCGAGGTGGCAGAGGACGGCACCCCGGAGAACCTGGCGCACAGCCTGGCCGAGCAGCTCCGCGAGTGGGGCGTCAGCCAGAAGGCACTGGGTGCCACCACCGTCGGGGGCAGCGAGGGCGTGGCGGGCGCCTGCTCCCTCCTCAGCCTGCCCGTCCACCTGCCCTGCCTTGGGCACGTCCTGAACACTGCCCTGGGCCTGGCGCTCCAGCTGCCCAAGCTCTGCTCCCTCCTGCTCAGGTTCGGCAGGCTGGCTGGGCACCTGAAGTGGGAGCCCAGGGCAATGTGCCCGCTGGGCGGGGAGAAGCCGAGGCCGCGGGGGCCGGTCAGCGACTGGACCACCTGGGGTGGGGCCGTGGCCATGCTGCGGGGGCTGGGCGAGCAGCGCCTGTCCATCGCCCACACGCTCGCTGAGGACCCACTTCACGGACACCTGGTGCCGGATCCCAGCGACTGGATCTCCGCCGATGCGCTCGTGTCGCTGCTGGAGCCGTTCGAGCAGGCGGCCGAGATGCTGGCGGGGTCGGGGAGCAAGTACCCGATGCTCAGCGCGGTCCGGCCTCTCCTCCACGTCCTGCTCGGGTCCACGCTGCGGCCGGAGGACTCGGACTCGCCGCTGCTGGGCGCCGTCAAGGAGACCGTCGCCGCGCGGCTGTCCGAGGCTTACCGCCTGCCCCAGGAGCTGGAGCTGTTCCTGGACGCAGCCACGTTCCTGGACCCCCGGTACAAGAAGGTGCCGTTCCTCTCGCCCGCCCGCCAACAGCAATTGGAGACCCGGCTCCTGGAGGAGGCCTTGACGCTCTCGGAGAAGGCGAGCCGTGAGGGGGACTGGGCGCCCGAGGAACCCCCGCTCAAAAAGATGGCCCCGGCCCCCAGCCCCCGCCCCTGGGCCCGCTGCAAGGCGGGGAACATTGGCTTGTTGTTGGCTGAGATGTTCGGGCAGGCGGCCGGGGCAGGGGGCGATGAGGACGAGGATGCCCAGGACGGCTGGCACGCCCGGGTGGTGGAGGAGCTGAACAATTACAAGTGGCAGAAGGTGCCCGACCTGAGCCAGGACCCGCTCCGGTGGTGGTGGGACCGGGCCGCGCTTTTCCCCACCCTGAGCCGCCTGCTGCCGCGCTACTGGTGCGTGCCAGCCACCAGCGTCCCCGCCGAGCGGCTCTTCACTGGGGCCGGAGAGCTGCTGGACGCCAAGAGGAATCAGCTGGTGCCGGCGGAGGTGGACCAGCTGCTGTTCCTGTACGAGAACAGCCGGGCAGACAGGGAGGCCACGGGCGAGGATGAGTAGCGGCGACAGCAGACGCACAACGACCGACAGGCCTTCACTGTGGAGGCGCCCTGAGGCTCGTGTGTTGAACCCCAGCGACCAAAGCCACGGGAGGGAGAGACACTGACTCCGGATAAAGCGCTTTGAGTCACGGGCTTCCGCAACTGGCGCCATCTCCGTTACCGCAACTCTTCTTTTCTTCCCCGCCCCCCCCCCCCAAAAAAAAACCCCTGCAAGGAATCGCGCCTTCCTACTGCGTCCCAGGCCGCTTGGTGTTTGGTGTTTTGTGTCTGTCTGTGTTTGTGTTAAATTCCTCTTCCCAGAGAACAGACCCGAGGGATTGATGCCAGTCCGCGACTCTGCTGTGTGGGGGTGGGGTGGGGGGGGTTGGGGGGGACAGGGGCTCTGGACCTGAGAGCCAACCGGGCATTTCACCAACTAATCCAGCAGTAGGTTGGTACCACATGTAGGAGGAGGCCGTTTGGCTGACTGCTTCACGTTGGTATTTGTTCCTCTTGGAAGCCATCCATCCTCACCACCCCAATTCCATACTATTTCCCTGTGTTCTTTTGCAAATACCCCCCCCACCACCCATTCTTTCTTAAAATGCCCAATACTTTGGATAACCTTAATTATCCTTATTATATGATCTAACAGCATGGCGAGACAGACTTGAGGGGCTGAATGGCCTACTTCTCGTCCTATGTTCCTGTATATTAAGCACTCTGATGGGTTTCCACATGTGTCAAGGCACCAGACTGACAGAACCCTCCCCCACCGAAAGAGTGAAGATCAGAAGGGATGGTCAGATCAAGAAGGTCCTTTGGCCCATTTGACCTGTTCCTTCCACAATCCCCATTCTGCCGTCCTCCCATCACAGCATCGAGGTGTTATTTAGAAGCGTTCCAGTGTCCTGGCCCCAGCCCCCCTGCTGGTGACTAACCTCGTTCCACTTGCTGTTTATTCTCTGGGTAAAATAAATGTTTCCTCGTATCTCCTGAAATTGCCCTTCGCAGCTCTGTACCTGTGCCCTCTTGTGCTGCAAATATAGTGTTCTGGGTTTACTTTCTCAGTCCTGTTAGTCTCTTACATACAGTACCTCTATAAGGTCCCCTCTGAGATGTTTTTTCTTCAAGGCTGAAGAGCTCCAACTTGTCTAATCGTTGCTCCTGGCTCATTCCTCTTAACACTGAGGATCATCCTCATTGCTCTCTTCTACGCTGCGTCTAAGTTTCCCCCTCCCCCACTGTTGTATAATAATCGCACTGATTCATAAAAATTGCCTTTTTTAAAAAAAACTGAGAATCATAAGAATAATCGTCTTTTGACTGAAATGATCGTTTTGTTGGAGTTGCCCTTTGTGATGGGAGCGAGTTGTGTGTTGCATTCCTGAAAGAGATTCCCAAATAAGATTGTGAATTTAAAATGCGTAGACAGTATTGAGAACGTATAATCTTATTTTTTGAGGGGAGGGGAGGGGTGTGTGTGGTGGGCGGGGGGGTGGGAGTCTGGGAAAGAAGAGAGAAGTTACTGTATATCAGATACACAGATATTTTGCCCGTAAGGTATACAGGCGATTCACTTTACAGGATATTCTGTGAAGCGCTTTGAGACGTCTTGAAGACGCAGTGGGGCACTATATCAAATGCAAGGATTATTATTATTAAAAACAGATGACCAGCTGTACACTGTAAAGTCAGAAACTCGTTAAAGTAACCGGGTGTTTAATTTTTAACGTTGCCGTAATTCATACCTTTGACTTTGTAAAAAAAAATACAGATTATAACGTGGCTGTGTGTAGCCCCGAAGTGAAAGTGTTTCAAAAACGTTTATATTTCTAGTTCCTAGGGTAAGGGTGAGTTATTGAGTGTTCCTTAGGTGTTCGCTAACCGCACTCATGTGCTCAAGGGTTTGTTCATAGCAGGACAGGGATGGGGTGGGGGAGAGAGGGGACAAAAAANTAAATTGTTCCAAACAATGTGTGACGGACTATATGCCTTTACTGATGAGAGGTGCCAAGGTGCCGATCACTTTAAAGAGCGAGTTGAGATATCCAAGCAGAAAAAACAACTAAGGTGGCTTGGTTGAAGCCGTAATCCGTCAAATACTGTACACAATAAAGTCTTCTAAAAATGATCATTGTTTGTTTGCGGTGTTGCATTATTTAAAGACGAGAAGGGGAGTTGGGAGGGAGGGTGTGGGGGGCAGGAAAAGGGAGGAGGAGGGTTTCGACCGCTCTGGTTTATTTAAAATGGTCTCTTAAGGGTGGTGTTTCCACATGCTGTGGGATGTCCAACTTGTGTCTGTTCTTGAGACGGACAGAGGAAGAAACGGTAGAATGTTAATTGAGTGGAGATCCGAGCAGATCCACAGTACTCCAGGGCACTGCTGATGGCTCATCAGTAGAACTTGAAGGCAGACCAGTCACTGGGAGAAGGGATTCTTCCCACTCATCCCCAGATAAGCTTTCATTCCTAAACCATAATGGGCGGGTGGTCAGTGGTGGACAAACAGGAGGAAGCTTACTCGTGCTTGGCGATTGTAGGCTACAGGGTTAAACTCCAGTAGTATTCCAGTTCGCACTCCGGCCCCAAATCTTGCCAACCTGCGTCTAAACGCTCTTGAATTAGGTAATCAGAGCGCGTCCCTCTGGGAGAGAGACTGCACTGTGTACCGGAAAAATGTGAAACTTGAATATGTCAAATTGGGGAGGCGTTGTGTTGGCGTAGATACTGTCTTACAATATTGTCTGTCTATTCAGATGGATGTTAAAGATCCTGTGACATTATTAGAAAAGAGAGTTTCTCATGGTATCCTGCCCTGACAATTTTCCCGATGAAATTGGTTATCCACAAGTTGACGGCTGTGTTTACTGCAAAAACAGTCATCATCACTTGATGGTAATTACCTGTGAAGCTTTTTGACATGTCTCAAATATGCTGTGGAGTTTTGTAGCATATTGGTTAGAGCACTTGCCTCGCAAGCGAGAGAGAGGACTTGGGTTTGATTCCTGGGCAGGGCGAAACGTTAGGCAAGTTTCCTTACTCCACACTCGGTTTACCTAGTAATAATAATAATAATAGCAATAAGTAGGAAACCGATTTTTAATCGATTGGCGGATCCCTTTTCCGGTTGTAACGATCCCTTTAAAAAACAAATACTAATTTTGTAACTCAACCCACGGCTGTTTGTGGGACAGACGCCGCTGTGCGCAATTGGCTGTGGCATTTCGTCCACAAAATATACAGTCAATTCACTTTACAGTGTATCCTGTGAAGCGCTTTGAGACGTCTCAAGGACATAATAAGGCGCTATGTCAAATGCCAGGATTATTATAAATGCGAGGATTATTGTTAAAAGTGGAAGTCCTGTTTATAAGGTGGTTGTTGAGGAATGGGGAGGGAATCCATGAAATTCCAACCTGCATTGTAATGGGATGCGACGAAGAGCTGCTGTTGGCCGTCTGGCTTCCTGCGTTAAAGGATGGCCAATTTCTGGGTAATCGATTCACGCCGGGAACACTTCCTGTTCACTGGCACATACCCTCTACGCAGGAAGCAAAAATCATGATATCTTCTAATTAGCGCAAACAGCAGGTGTTGGTCGAGAGTCAATAACAGATGGTTACTGATGCAGTACTTGGGACATTAGTTTAGAATCAGGGCTGTGGAAATCAACTAAATGTGTGCAACTTAAGTGGCAATCGTGAATGAGTGAGTGCCATTTGGAGGCACTTAAGACTGCACGTTGTACGCCAGGAGCTTCTGTTGCTGTTACCTTTCAAGCTGTTAGGAACAGCAATGGGACCAACGTTGGGCAACATGGTGCTTGCACCACCCTGTAAATGTGCAAACATCATTGCTCCCTGATCGTCCTTTCTGCACCTTTGCATTTGAGAGGACTTGAATTCAGTGCTTCTCCTCCAGCACAACAACAACAACAACAAGATTCCATTTATAGAGCGCCTTTCACGTCAGGAGGACGTCCCAAGGCGCTGCACAGTTGGGTCATGACCCGAGCAGGGGGGAAATGGTCAGGGTGAGGGGAGGGAAGGGAGGGAGCGAGGAGGGGGGAAATGGTCAGGGTGAGGGGAGGGATGGGAGGGAGCGAGGAGGGAGAAGAGAGTCGAGAGGGGAGCTGAAGGCTCGGTCAAAGAGAAAGGTTTTGAGACCGGCCTTGAAGGAGGAAAGGGAGGAGGCGGCGAAGGCACTGGGGGATGGAGTTCCAGAGCCTCGGGGCTGAGAGGCTGAAGGCCCGACCACCGATGGTAGGGCGGTTGGGGCGGGGGACGTGGAGCAGACCGAGCCAGAGGAACGGAGGGTACGGGCAGGTAGGGAGGGGGATAGTAGGTCAGAGAGGTAGGAGGGAGCGAGGCCGTGAATGGCCTTGTAGGTGAGGATGAGGATCTTGAAATCAATCCTCTGGGTGATGGGGAGCCAGTGGAGGGGAGCGAGGGTGGGAGTGATGTGGCCCGAAGCCTGGTGCGGGACAGTACACGAGCTGCAGAGTGTAGGTAGTGGTTTGTCCTGTATTCTGTGCCTTTGTGTGTTATTCGGCTTTAGACTAAGTAATTATGGGTTCAAACCCCATGTCAGGGCTTTGACATTGTATAGTTTAGGCTGGTGCTCCAACGGAGTGTTGGGGGAGTGCTGCACTGATGTAGGTCCTGTCTGCCTGTTCAGGTGGACGTTAAAGATCCCATGGCACTATTCGAAAAGGAAAGGGAGTCTCTCTCTCTCCCCCGTGTCCTGGCTGACAATCCCCCAAATAAAATACTCACTTTATGTCTGTTTGTGAGGCTTTGCCGTGCACAAATTGGTGCTGTGTTCGCCTACAAAATAAGTCGCCACACTTTACAGCGTGTGAAGCACTTCGAGACATCCTTTCGATGTGACAGGTAAAAATTATACCAAATGCAAGGATTGTTACTTATTATTGTTTACTTCTGTACTACCTGTATTTTTGAGGAGTCCTGGATCATATTGGTTAGGCACTCACCTCACAAGCGAGAGGACTTAGGTTTGATTCCCGGGCAGGACAAAATGTTAGGCAAGTTTCCTTACTCCACACGCCTCTGTTTACTCAGCATTAAGTAGGAACCCGGTTGTTAGTCGATTGGCGGATCGCGTTCCGGGGGTAATAATCCCTTTTAAAAAAAAATTGATTTGGTCACTCAATCCACGACTGTTTGTGGGACGCTG